GATAGGGAGAAATAAGTAAGTTGCCTCACCTTAGCTCTTTTTTTCTGTCTACCCCATTCCCCATTTTTTCCTTATTCCCCTGCCAGAATCTGGGATTAACAGATAGAAGCATCTTGCTCCTGTTACCTACCCTAATTTACCCTTCTCTGAGATTTCCCTCTCTTTTTAAAATTCTCTGATTATACATTTTTATTTTAGATTTGGGGGTATGCATGACATATTCCTTACATGGACATTTGTTTAGTGGTGGGGATTGGGTCTCAGGTGGCTCATTCCCCAGACAGTGAACATTGCACCCCGTAGGTAGTTCCTGAACCCTAGCCCTGCATCCCCCTGCTCCTTTACTGGTGTCCCTAGTGTCTATTATTTCCGTCTTTGTGACCATTTAGCTCCCACATATGAGTGAGAATATGCTGTATTTAGTTTTGTGTTTCTGAGTCAATTCACTTAGGTTGATCTCCAGCACCAGCCATGGTACTGCAAAGGACATGATTTCATTCTTTTTTTATGACAGCCATGATCTCTCTTTTACTCAATAATTCTGTCCTACCCTGTACCTCCTTCTGCTCCCCACCCCCTACTTTCTGTACACAACCACCTTCCTGACCAGGAAGAAGTATATCATGAAGGGTTGAATGTCAGGATCAAACTACATTGAACTCCTGAAGAGGAGGACAGGGGTGTCTCTGGGCTGAGCCTGCTGTCTCCTTCCCACTGTCCTTTTTCCAGGCTCTCATGGCATGTTAGGGCGAGTGTGTTGCCAGGTGTGTATCTGACCTCCAACTCAGTGCTCAGTTATACCCAAAGAACTGTTTTGTTTTTTTTTGTAGTTGGAGTCTCACTCTATCGCCCAGACTGGAGTACAGTAGCACGCTCACAGCCACCGCAGCCTTGACCTGCTGGGCTCAGGTGATCCTTCTGCTTCAGCCTTCCAAGTAGCTGGAGCTACAGGCACGCACCACCATGCCTGGCTAATGTTTTGATCTAATGTAGAGATGAGGTCTCGCCAAGTTACCCAGTCTGATCTCGAACCCGTGGGCTCAGGCAATCCTTCCTCACCTTGGTCTCCCAAAGTACTGGGATTATAGGCGTGAACCTGGCCAGAGAACTTATTTTTATTTCCAGCTTCTTGGAAGACTTAGGCGAAAGGATCGCCTGCAGAGATTAAGCTGTAAAAGCTGTTTTCATTTTTTTCTCTTTTGGGGTAAATATATAAATAGCAGTTTATTAAAATTCAACATGAAAAAAATATTATGCTATACCTTAATTTCCAAATGACATTTATCAGTCAACTCACCTTCAAATCCTGGCCTACCAAAGGCAGGATGATGGAGTGTACCACACACTCAGGTTGGCAGAAAAGAAGTGTTTTCTGTAGAGAATTTTAAAAGAATAAAATGGACTAATACTTCTTATCTACACTGGAAATTCTAAACAGTCTGATAAAATACTCCCTGCTACTACCACCATTTCTTGGCTCAGCCCTTCCTCCCAAGACATGAATGAACTTAGATATGGAAAAGGGCATTGTGTCTGATACTTTTTTTTCCCAGTTTGGGTTTCAAAACCTATCTTTTCAGTTGTTAAAAGGAAGGAATAAAAAATACATGGCAAGCCAGGCGCGCTGGCTTACGCCTGAAATTCCAGCACTTTGGCAGGTGGAGGCGAGATGACTGAGCTCAAGGATTTGAGACCAGCCTGGGCAAATTGATGAGACCTCGCCTCTACAATAAATCAAAAAATTAGCCTGGTGTAGTGGCACATGCCTGTAGTTCCAGCTACTTGGAAGCCTGAGGCAGAAGGATCGCCTGAGTCCAGCAGATCGAAGCTGCGGTGGCTGCGAGCATGCCACTGTACTAAAAAAGAAAAAATACATACATACATATATATATAGATATATATATGTATGTATGTATATATGTGGCAAGCAGTAGAGTGTAATTAAATAATATTGTTTCATTGGTTCATACATATAAGTCATATTAGTTGCACAGTATGGAAACTCCACTAAAACTCAAGTAAAAAATTGGTTTTATTAGAAGAGTACATAGGACATAATTGCAGGAAGCATACATAGGGTTCCCTGAAACTAATTTATTTTATTTTATTTTTTTTAGTTGAATTCTCACTCTGTCTCCCAGGGTGAAATGCAGTGGCACGCTCACAGCCACTGCAGCTTTGACCTGCTGGGCTCAGGCAATCCTTTGGTCTTAGCCTTCCATGTAGCTGGAGCTACAGGAATGCACCACCACCTTTGGCTAATTTTTTGATTTTATTGTAGAGATGAGGTCTCACCAAGTTGCCCAGGCAGGTCTCGAACCCCCAGACTCAACCTGTAATCCCAGCACTTTGGGAGGCAGAGGCAAGAGGATTGCCTGAGCCCACAGGTTCAAGACCAGCCTGGGAAACTTGGTGAGATCACATCTCTGTGATAAATCAAAAATTATCTGGGTGTGGTGGCACATGCCTGTAGTTTTAGTTACTTGGAATGCTGAGGCAGAAGGATCGCCTGAGCCCAGCAGGTCAAGGCTGTGGTGGCCATGATCTTGCCACTACACTCCAGCCTGGCGACAGAGTGAGACTCCAACTCAATAAATAAATAAATAAATAAAACTGATGAGGCACAATGGCTCATGCCTGTAATCCCTGCACTTTGGGAGGTTGAAGTGGGAGGATTGCTTGAGCCCAGGAGTTCAAGACCAGTCTAGGCAACATAGCTGATCCTTGCCTCTACCAAAAAAAAAATTTAGCTGGGCATAGTAGCATGCAGTCATAGTCCCAGCTACTCGGGTGGCTGAGGTAGAAGGATCACTTGAGTCGAGTTGAAGGCTGCAGGGAGCCATGATTCTGTGACTGCACTCCAGCTTGGGGACCCAGACTCAAAAAAGTAAATAAAACGCCTGTTAGCTGCGGTCAGCATTAAGAACCCTCTGCAGATAGGGAATTTGACAACTTCCTTATAAATGGTTGTATGTGTGTCACTTACTTTTCACAAAGACTGAATTCTCAGTATCTGCAGGTTATAAGCTTGAGTCAGAGTCCTACTCTGTCATCCAGGTTGGGTGCAGTGGCATGCTCACACCTACTGTATCCCTGACTTACTAGGCTCTGGTGGTCCTTCTGCCTCAGTCTTCCAAATAGCTAGGACTACAGGCACGTGCCACCATATCTGGCTAATTTCTTTTATTTATAGTAGAGTAGAAATCTCGCCATGTTGCCCATGCTGGTCTCCAACTCTTGGCTCAGATTATCTTGCCTTGGCCTCCCAAAGTGCTGGAATTGCAAGCATGAGCCACCACACCTGGCCAGTTGCTAAACTTTATGTAGACATTTCAAATAAACCTAATTGAAAAAGTCTTACATTTTCTTTTTCTTTATTATTATTATTATTATTATTTGAGTTCGATTTTCATTCCGTTGCCCAGGCTAGAGTGTAGTGGCATGCTCACGGCCACCCCAGCATCAATCTGTTGGGCTCAGGTGATCCTTCTACCTCAGCCTTCCAAGTATCCAGAACTACAGTTGTGCGCTACCATGCCTGGCTAATTTTTTTTTTTTAATTTATTTATTGTAGAGATGAGGTCTCGCCAAGTTGCCCAGGCTGTTCTCGAACCCATGGGCTTAGGCAGTCCCCTCACCTCCACCTCCCAAAGTGCTGGAGTTACAGGCTTGAGTCACCACGCCCAGCCTATACTAGATGGATTTTTTTTTTTTTAATTGTAGAGACAAGGTCTCGCCAAGTTGCCCTGTCTGGTCTCAAACCCATTGGCACAGGCAAATCCACTTACCTCGGCCTCCCAAAGTATGGGATTAGGCTGAGCCACCGAGCCCATCTTATATTTTCAAGTTGTTTAAATTTTTTTAATTTTTATTTATTTATTTATTTTTTGAGTTGGAGTCTCACTATGTCGCCCAGACTGGAGTGCGGTGGCCGGAAGGAGCTGCTGGGCTCCGTGGATCCTTCCGCCTCAACCTTCCAAGTAGCCGGAATTACAGGCATGTGCTACCATGCCCGGCTGATTTTTTTATTTTTTTTATTTTTTTATTGTAGAGATGAGGTCTCAATGCCCAGGCAGGTCTCTAACCCATGGGCTCAGGCAATCCACTCATCTCAGCCTTCCAAAGGCACGGGATTACAGGCTGAGCCACTGAGCCCGGCTGAATTTTTTTTTTTTTAAGTTGAAGTGTCACTCTGTCACCCAGGCTGAACTACAGTGTCACGCTGATGGCCACCACAGCCTCCACCTACTGGGCTCAGGCGATCCTTCTGCCCCAGCCTTCCAAGTAGCTGGAACTACAGGCATGTGCCACCACGTCCAGCTAATTTTTTTTATTTATCATAGAGATGAGATCTCACCAAGTTGCCCAGGCTGGTCTCAAACTGTGGGCTCAGGCAATCCTCTCACCTCGACCTCTGTGAGCCACTTACCCGGCCTGTTTAAAAATTTCATACTAGCCGGGCTCGGTGGCTCAGCCTGTAATCCCAGCACTTTGGGAGGC